ACCACAGACCATTCTAGTTATGGGCTCGCATTTTTACTCTTGCTTCGTCTATTTCCAAGCGGAAGATTGTTCTCTTTCACCACTTTTTGCATTTGGTGGAATTTCACGGTAAACTAGAAGTTGTTTTTCCCAAAAACGCTAACTTTGACGTTCTCTTTTTTGCTCAATTCCGGCGTTCGGTTTTGATCTGCTGGCTTTTTTTGTTGCTCAACAGAAAGATGTAAGCATCGCACTTTAGTTGATCCTCCTCTGTTCGGTCGTTTCGTGCTAATTTTGAGACAAATTTAAGTTGTTTGTTTTAAATTGCCCACACTACCGCTCTCGTTTGTGCTTGCACACTTCCTTTTGTTTTTCGCATACGGATTACCTACTAATTTGCATGTTGCCCCCTCCCCTCTCTGCCGTGCCGATTCGCTTGTAATGTACGTCCCGCTAATCACCATAATCATTTTTCTCGTCGTCAAGATTACAGGGTTCGTGAAGTGCGAATTTGTCCATCCCGGTTTAATCCTTTTTTCCGTAAAGACAAATTTGTATTTGTGAACCGAGGTGCGAGTAGCTATGTGTGTGTGTATGTGTATGGATTTGAGAAAATTGAAATCAACCATTGGACACTGTATGTGGCTGCTGTTTGCCAATTCCTAGGTTGTATGTTTCAGCCTATACTCGGACAGGCCGTTATCAAATGGATGCGCTCCGTGATTGCGCTCCGTGCGCTCCGTGGATTGATGATTCGCAGTCAACCGTAAGTTATCAAATGGATGCGCTCCGTGACTGATCTTGAATGTATCCGCCTTGTAACGTTTTTGTTTCTGGCGACTAACCCATCGGATAAGATCAGTGGGGAGTCATGTGCGTACTTTATGTTAGTTCCCGTGGATTGATGATTCGCAGTCAACCGTACGCCAGTGGCGGTTCATTGTCGGTTGTTTCCAGTTAGCGTACGTCTTCCACACACAGCATAGTTTGGAAGTCGGCGTATGCTTTCGGATTTGAATGTGTTTCACCAAATTTGCGTCCGAAACACTGGGTATCACTTCGTTTTTGTCGCCTAAAGAGTGGTGTTTTCGACCCTAGTGTTGATTCTTCTCTTCATTCTTCTTGTGTACAACGTGATTCCTCTTTTTATTGTTTCCGTTTTGCATTTATACGCTCTTTTTGTTTTGCCCCGAGCGTAAATCACTCTTTGACCTTGTCATCGCACGTCTAGTTTTTACCAACCACGTGGCTTTCGCCATCTTGTGTCCACTTTCTCTTGAGCCGGTGTGAACTTTGGGATCACATTTGGAAATAGCAGTTCATAAATCGATGTATAGAAACCGATGTAATCCCTACCACTTGAGGTTTGTGCAATTTTATTGTTGTATTATTGTATGCATAGTACCGCACTTGTCGGTAAACCTCCATTTGAACGAATGGACTTTTGGGGATTTTCCGGTAACTCAGTGTGGCCCAACTAATTACCACAAACAGTCAATACCTAGACCGATATCATTTTTCTTCCCCGAAAACTAATTTCAAATATGCTTAATACGGCCAATACAACGGATCTTGAACAGTAGACTAGATGAACTCAGCCTGATATTCGGCTGAGTCATGCAAACCAAACTTCTGTTATCGATAATTACCATCCAACACCAAGGAATACTAGCTGGTTCAATGTAAAACGAAAGAGAACTCAATTGGAAAATGTTTGGGACCGATTGGGAAGTCATCGTTTCAGGGGGGTTGGTGGATTTATTGCTGGGCAATGTTTCACTTTTGACACAAAAGCTTTGTTAGGCCAAGTGAGTAAGTAAGTAGGTCGATTGGGTCTTAAGGCAGTCGGGGAACCAATCCGTGAGATTTTTCATGACTAGTCATCCCCACTAACCAACAAACAGGAACATCAGACTGAATACCAAGCACTGACAAAGTCGGCTAGTCATAAGAAATCTTACGGGTTGGTTCCCTGACTGCCTTAAGACCCAATCGACCTATTTACTTACTCACTTGGCCTAACAAGGCTTTTGTGTCAAAAGTGAAACATTGCCCAGCAATAAATCCACCAACCCCCCTGAAACACTGATCGTTTACCAAACCTTTCTGAAACAAAAGAGAACTCATTGAAAAAAGTTCGCAACTGATCGGAAAGTCTTTGGTAAACAGTCGATCCTAACAACCAGCAGCTCCAAATGTCACATCAACAAAGTGGAGAGTGGTAAAGCATGTGGATACTATGGTGGCGAATAACGGAAAGGCTGCAGTTGTCATGAATAAGAGCGACTATCTACAAAAGATCTCACAACACATCAGAATCACCTTGCCGACATATTGACGGTTTGAGCATAACTTCTATGGCGCATTAGTGTGATGTTTGAGCTGCTAAGTATTCGCAATCCGTATCACAAAGCTACAGTCCAACCGTCGTTGCCAAAAACACAGTACGCAATTATCCCCACAGGACCAGTGGTGGATGAAATAAGCTCTCCATCCCATGAACTGACCAAACTTCTTATCGGCAAATCGATCACTTGTGGTAAAAATTTATACGACATTGCCAGCAACTTTGTTTCGATAGTTTTTAGGTAGTTTTGACATCAAATATATACAGATGTGCGGAAAGTGGACTCTTTCGAAGTGCCTAAGCAGTTTCTATTAAAAAACACGCAGCTTAGGGTAGATGAAGCAGTGGGAGGCGTAAAAGCTTGCCTGAATCTCATTCTGTTTTTGGCTCCGTTGTTTACATACAATAACAAAGCCTGTCAGTGTGATATCAAGCATCCCCGGTTGTGTCCAGTATCTCTGTGAAGGGTTTCAGAAAGGACTCAATGTGGTACATTCTATTCTAACCCTGTACAGGCTGAAACGACCTCTCTAATACGTTTTTCACCACACACATTTGAAACATTATTGAGTTTTTGTATACTTTTCATCTCAGTTATTGCAAGAAATCTAGTAGTTTTTCCTCCTGCGTCACTGCAATAAACACCTCCAAAACCAAGCAGACACCCTTTCAGTCCAACCCGATTTTTCAAGTGCGAATTGACTTCCACGATATCACATGTACCTATCATTTGGGAGGATTCGAATAGCTTTTTCAGAGGTGACATGAGATTATTATAGTCGCCAAGCAAAGTTAGTTGCGGACGGACGACGATCCCTGCAATTTCGTACAATTCTTTACTGATTGCTTTGCCAACATGTTGAGGTATCTCATGTGGCGGAGCTATCTTTTGATCGGTATGTTCTGCCGTGGGTATTCGTTTTTCGCTGCCTTCTTACCGGTCGATGTCCTGGAGACCACTCCAACTTTTTTCCAAGTAGTTGTGATGGGTATACTTGTCAGACTGCTGTAACAAATGATTAAATACTGAGTCTAGTACTTCAATCCCTCTGGTGATGTAATGCAATTTTCGTGTGCCACAGAGATTGCTTAGTCCCTATTTACGTTTATCGGAAGATATTTGCGGAAATCAGGACAACGTTGAGTTATGGAGTTATTGGAATACAAGTTATTCTCCCACTGGTGTATTTCGGTTATGTTTTTTATTTGCACCCTACTTTGGCGTACACGGAAGCCGTCTGCTTCGATCCTATCGCACTGTCCGTTAGTGCAGTACATAGCTTGCTTTGTGTGTGCTTTGATGTTTGCGAGATGCTCCATTTGGCATTCATTTCATGGTACAAAACAGGACTGGAAAGCAAACAAGGTGATTAGATGTTTGCTGTTTGTTCGAGGTGGGAGGGAGGAGGTGCCTAACAAGGTGTTGTGTCGTGTGCTTACATAGGTGTGTCGTGAAAAGCAGTCACCGGTGTTTTCACTGACCGCAATCATCATAGCCGAACTAACTCAGCTTATATGTGGCGCCGTAGTTGAGTGATTCCTTTCCGTAGCCGCTGCTCTCTCCCAAGAGACTGATTGATGTGGGTCGATTCGACCAAGCTGACTTTTTGGGCCTCTACCCATGTATCTTTTGCATAACAGGTAGTGGTTGGTTAACATCGGATGCTGGTATGCTGATCGATAGTGGGTGTGATTTTTTAAAATATTTACTGGAGTTTAGATAGTTTTAGAAGAAACACTTTGAGAAGGAGGTCTGAAAGGCGGAAATGAAGAAATGAATGAATGGGTTGACTCAGCTAGTTTGCCTCGCATCCACTGGAACTTGCCCTTTCGTCGCATTTTCATCCTATGGTGGGATTTTAACTATTCTCTCATTGTCTCCAGTCTGTTTGTGCAGGTCAATATTCCTCACCTACGGAATTTGAATCTCGTTGCTGTGTTTCAGTTACTACTCCTTGTCTTTACACCACCTAAGTGCGCACCTTTATTAGACCCTCACGAGTCGTTTGTTAGCGCATCTATTTAACCATGTTTGGTGTGGCGAGACATACATCTGGAGCTGTCGCTAATCAACAAAAACGGGTTGAAATCGTTTTTTTCACAGTATCATTAAGCCAGACAGTAGCGCATTAATTTTTGAAAACAATACTAGAAGATTTAGACTTTTGTGGTGAGAGCTGCTCCGTTTCCCGTATTCAGTGTATGATTGTTTAGACGCAATTAAACTCATTTGTTCAGCTCTGGCCCAAATGTCGTTTGTCGCTTACTTTAAATCATTTATTCAGTGGAACTGTTTGCCGAAGCCATAAGTAGCTGACCAAATTATCGTCCTATGGTTGGCACTTTCTTCCAAACAGGTTTTGACCTGATCGGTTAATGACGCGTCCTCTTTTGTTTAGTAGAATCGTTGGTTGCCGTAAACTGTATGCTCCTCTTGTGCCATCCGTTTGGCAACGTACACAAGAACCATTGAGTGAGACCAACCTCCCGAAGGACTCAAACATGTGTTTAAGAATGTCGGTATATCACACTTAGATTTTTCGTGTATTGATTGTTGATTCGGCAGCCTGATAGCCTTGTGGTAATCGCACATTTTGCTTACTCCTTTTAGGAAGCTGTTAGCGGAGTGTTTTATCTAGCCACTAGTTTATCCATTCATCCTCCTTTTTTGCAGATGGCTGACAAATTCTGTCTAGCTAATGTCTGAAAACATAGCTGGAGCCTTGTAGGCAACCATTCAAATCAGCGACGAGAAGTCCAGGCAAAACAACATTTCCACCGGTGGCGCTAAATCCTTCAGTACAGATTTCCTCTTCTTTGGCTGAAACAAGACGCGGTTGAAAAAAATAATTCAATGAGTTTTTGTTGAAGTCGTTTGGTTACCATTCGTTATGCGAGCTGGGAACCATTTTTACCTCCTGTTCAAGTTCGTTTTTCTAACTGCTGATGATGTTTCTGCTGTAGTCATTTTCCACCTGTAAATTACACTATTTCCTCTTCGCCCCCCTTCGACATCACGTGATGCGGCAACTGATCGGTGATTCTGCCATGATTACCCGTTTCTACGCTTGCTACCAGTTTGTTTCCCTTCACATTGCATGTCTTGTACGATCTTCCTCCCCCAGTTATTCATCCATACTATCTCCCAGCCCTAATCCCACTAGGTCGAACTCTACGGTAGGTTAGCTCGTCAGGTCTCTCTTGCAACGCGTCATTTCACAAATTTAATTAAAAATGAAGATTATTTATGTTTCTCTTCCTTTTGTCTCTACCTGTCGTTACCCGCCACCTCTTTGCTACCCCCTATCCCAAACGCTCGTGCTCCGCTTTACCGAGATTCACCTGCATTCCACTCTCTTCACCACAACGATGATGAACCGAGCGACCGACCGACACATTTATTTGATCTCAGCATCCTTCCTAACACTCGCGCGTGCATGCGTGCGTAGTTTCTTGGTTGCGTGTCTGACTGACCGACATTGTGTCGAGGCAGTTGCGTGCAATTGGCGCAGCTTCAAACATCTGCTTTTGTCTCAACAAACACAACGACGTTCACAGCGTTGTCCAGGCGCGCTGCATGCATTTGTTTCTCTTCTCTCATTTGATTTGTATTTCTCGCTATTTACTACCACAATGATTGTTTCGGTTATGAAGCTGATGACAATGACAATATGACTTTCTCGTTTGCCTCTTTGCCATTGTTCGTTCTCAGGGGCTATTTCTAAAATTCCAAAGTACGGTTAGTTGTAGGCGGTTTTGGAATTTTCAGAATTATCATCCACACCACTCGTTTTAACCTATCCTTCCCCTGTCCTGGTACAACCATTCTGGGGAATCCACATCAAAGGGTGGTGAAAACATTGAACTAGAGTTTCACCTTACCGTAGTTTGAACTTCAGACATCTGACATGCGATGCGAACGTGTTACCACTTCACCAGTGCACGTTGAAAGCACTTGGATTATCACGTCTGAACAGGCGAACGTGTTCATGTTTGGCTTGTCCGATGCCTCGAACGTCGGCCTAGTAGTTGTTCTGGTCATGTAGATCGATAGTTCACCTGTTGGGACTTCCCAGTGAGGTAGCGCCATGGAGGACTGTAAACTGCTGCGTCCGTGGCGCAACCTGACTGGGACGTCCTGACAGGCAGGTCAGTCTCGATCGACGCCACCAGGACAGTCACTCGGTGTTCGCTAGAGCCATCAAGCAAACCAATCATACCGCCGAAGGTGCAATTGCTTCACCTATTGTATTTATCCAGCGGCTTTTTCCCTTTCCAAGTATTCTGTGGGATAGACAATTGATCCAGTTGACTTACCTTCTAGCGATTTACCTGGACGTATTCATATCAGAAGGAGACACTAGGCTTAGCATCCGTGGCAAACTAATTTGGTCCGGCAATGGTTATCCTTATTGAGAACGGGGATTTGACTGCAGGACATCCGAGGCTTGGCATGCTGCTGCCATTCCCCCTTGTGCCGATCAGGTTAATGTCGCACTTTTGGGCATCAGGTTTAACCGTATAATGCATTCACATGGTTATGAGCGAAGGTCAGTTGTCAATCATGTTATTGGTGAGATGTTGGACCAGAAGAAGAAGACTGAGACTCAGGTGGTCGTGACTGGGAGTTTGAGAAGAAGAACGGCAGTAGATCCTCGTGGAACGGTACAATCGGAATTGCATACAATTCCGGTATGGAGTGCAGCTAGTCTCGCAGGTCCATAACCTCCATGTAGTCGCATGTGTCCATTAGGAGCCGAGTACTTTTTAAGCCGTTTGCGACAAACCTTACAAGCTACTCGTTTCGATCCTTCCAATTGGTGCACTATCATCAGGGCCACTTTGGTAGCCACTTCCGCAGGAGTTAGGGAAGACAGTGACGAGATCAGAGATGTTCCACTACTCGATCTGTTGCGATCATCTGCTTCATCAAAGTCTGTCGTGTCCATTTTTCCAGTGGGCGAAGCAACACTGACTAGAGAACAGCAACCAGAATTGGGTGACTGCGGGGAGGTTTCTCCGAGAACCTCCGAACGGGCGCAGCACTTCGGATATCAAGCCAGATTTTGGACATCCTAACTAGACATGGGATCATCTTCAGATCCTTCTTGAGCCGCTTCAGGACCTGTCAAATCATTTACTGAGATAAACGGAGACAAATTACAAAAAACGTTGAACATCGCAACACTTCCTGTTGAATGACTGTTTTCAGACAGCCGAACTTTTCGGGCTCGTACCTTAACGCAAGCATCGAGATAGTGTCACTGATAACCCGCAGATTTGACGTAGGCTTGAGGTTTCCTGCTAACCTCGTATTGGTTCGGTAATAAAAGAGACACTTAGTTGGTTGAAGATTTAAGCAAACAAACCTGATATGCTTAATTAACACTAGCTTTAGCCATGCTGTTCTGGCAAACAGGAACATAAGCTTGACGGTAGCTCGGAGACAACGCCTGCCTGATAATCCCCAAGGAGGGTGAAACCGATCGTGGGCTGTTGAAGATTTTTCAACTGCTTTTTGAGTAGTGTGTTCCGTCCAAGCTGGATGAAGAGTTGATGACAACCGAATAAAAACCGGGGATGGCTACTGTTACGGTACACATTTTATTTCGAAATGCAGCTAACTGATACAATATTTTTCCAACCACCAGCGTTCAGTACACTAGACGGTCACTCACTTTATTCGCTGACAGATGAAATTCTACTCAGACGACAGGTTCTCCCAGATAGCAAAACTCGGCTGTAAACAAAACTGCCTAGCTGTTCAGATCCATCCGTTTGCCTGGTAGACAGCCAACAAATTTTAGTAACATTCGAAAATCATGTTCCCCGATCGTGGTTGAAGATTTTTCAACTGCTTTTTGAGTAGTGTGTTCCGTCCAAGCTGGATGAAGAGTTGATGACAACCGAATAAAAACCGGGGATGGCTACTGTTACGGTACACATTTTATTTCGAAATGCAGCTAACTGATACAATATTTTTCCAACCACCAGCGTTCAGTACACTAGACGGTCACTCACTTTATTCGCTGACAGATGAAATTCTACTCAGACGACAGGTTCTCCCAGATAGCAAAACTCGGCTGTAAACAAAACTGCCTAGCTGTTCAGATCCATCCGTTTGCCTGGTAGACAGCCAACAAATTTTAGTAACATTCGAAAATCATGTTCCTATGTCACACAACCCTGAATCCACCTCCCCAAAGAGATAAAAAAAATGATGTATATGTATCGGAAGTGACACCTGTGAAAATTGGATAACCTCTGTAAATTTCAACTGTTACAATTGTGTGTACAAATCCGTTGATTAAGATTCCATTAAGATAGGTACAATTCATTTTCGTATCGTACTGATGAGAACTCACTTTCATTGATTCTTTCATGTGCACCAGATGACGGAAACACCCTAAGCGGGGGACCGAAATGAGTCTCCCTTGAATGCCATCTTAGTTTGAAGATGACTCCTTCACTCCACATGGGTTTCTTCCGAATCGGTTCCAAAAAATTCAAATGAGTTCGAGAGAAATTCGCTGACTGCCTACTTTGTGAACTCCAAGAGGAAGATGCCGGTACTCAAATGTGGAATGGTTTATGTCAACCCCTTTGACAGCTTCTTATCGAGCTAGAACTGCAATACATATGGTGTCGTTCTAACTATGATTGGGTTGACCTTTCGCAGCACATTGGGTTGAAGAATATCGTGAATGAGAGGTTCAGATGAGCTTCCTGTCAACGCAAACCGAATTTGTGAAGTCCTAGTCTTACAACAGTAACTACTTTTAGCTGGTGTGGATCAATTTGTTTGTCTCCTACGCAGGGGAGATCATTCCAACATTAGGCTTGTGTGCCATACGGCCCCGCCATGCCCCAACGAGACCGGAAATTAGTGTCTATCATAAACGACGCGCGCGAAAGTTGGATAACAGCATGAATAGTTGAAATAATTGTTTACTTATCAGACTAAATCATGTAGCTCATTCGTAGGACCGGAAATTCAAACGGGATTCCAACGACTTTGTTAGTTATAAAATCTTTCATCTGAATGTTTAACGAAATCAATACCTCAGAGTTCAACTAGGATGATATTCTGATTAAAATCGAATTGTAAACAGTACGAAAATGGTAACCAGAACCCATATAGAGTGTCCGGCACAACAGCATTCACAAAGTTACTGGAAACTCTTCTTCAACAGCCCACAGTTCGCCCTTCATCATCGCTTATCAGTTAGTCCCCGATTTTCCTTCAGCCTTGGACACAAGACTGGAGTTATAAACTCCTTTCCAAAACAACTTTATATCAACGGAATACTCAGCCGAATACCAGCTGGATCTCTACTCGATAACAGTCATCGGTTGAATGTGCTACACAAAGGCCCCTCTGGTTTTCAGTTGGAAGGATATTAATGATACTGAAGTGGGTTCCTTCACACATTCGGTTAAATGTCGTGTAAGCATCAATCAGAGTGTGATTTCACTTGCGTACTAACTGGTATTCAAGTAAGAAACAAGAATGCTGGAAACTATGTAACTACGCCTGCATTCTGATCCCGAAGACAGGAGAAACCGGTGGAGTTCTGTCGTCAACCTTATAGGTAGTTTTGTTTTCCAGTAGGATAGGCCTAAACTGTTCACTTCAGTATTTACATGACAATCTTTCATGCCATGACAAAAATGGTTCCTACCTGACTTTCTATTCAGAATGCTCACCGATTTCGCCATGAAATGTCACCACAAAATAGTACACCCCCTAACAGATATGAGGATTTTGTTTCCTGAACCAAATGGGCTTTCGCTACCAAATTGTATGGAATATCGTGAAAACAATTATGGAATTTAACTGGGTGCATTTCTAATCCACAAAAGCTCCAATTCTTCTTTTCGGTAAAAAAAAACACGGATACCAATCAACCTGATTGACAGAACCGCGTTTAGAACACGTGCTTGTTTCAACTTCAGTACGGCGTTATGGAACTACAATCAAGCCGCTAAACTTTCGCTTCCCTCGAGCGAAAGATTACGTGCATTTTCGAATTTTCTCGGGTATGGTGCGAAGTCACCTCAAATCAGGAGGATGACGATGCTAACAAGTTGATGGTCATGTGAAGAGATATGGCAATTTTTACTGGAGACTTCGGCGACGCCGAAAAGCCTAAAACCAGTGTATTGTTCTTTCGTCACCAGCAGCGTGAAGCTCATGAAACTTCGGGGAGCTTCGAACCTACTATCTGGGTTGGTGGTTTGAGCACTTGGCCGTTCTGCCACGAGCAACTGGTCAGTAATGCCACTGATTGGTTGTGTGTTCAAACTGCTAGCGTGGGAGTTGCGGGTTCAAGACTATCTGGAATTTCGTGAGATGTGCACTGCTAGATGCCCAACATGGATAAAACAGCTGTACAAGGGCTGTTGGATTTTCGTGTTAGACTGGCTTCTTTCATAGTGCGAAATCCTCATAATAAAATGATAAACGTTTAAAGAACCGTCCAAATCCATGCCTTATAATCTATCCAAAATTTTCCCGTAGTACTCAGTGCAGTGAAATTTAGGTGCCCGCATATTGGGACGCTGAAAAGACCGGTTTTTCAGTATACATAGGCGAGGATAAAGCAGTCTGTCGTCCTATAACAAAACAATTCAAGAAACGGAAGTAACCAGCCACTCATAAGGTTGCTGAAAACTCTGCAAAATC